GATCCTTTACATACAAACTTATGTAATGACAGGGCAAGGTAAGTGAAAATACACATTAATTTTATACATGTGTTTATATTTATAAGTGTATGACGGTATGTTTGTTTGTTGTGTTTGTGTGTATGTAGATACAGTTATGTGCACATATATACCCATGTGCAGCTATGTATGTATACGCCTTTTTCTCCCGGATTTTTCATTATTTTATTAAAAAAATTAGACAATAGATTTCGAATTTTTTTCAATAATTTTGTTCCATCATATGATCTTTTTCTTTTCTTTTTATTGTATTATTTTTATTTAATTTTATGCTATTGTTTTTATTATAATATATTCCCTCACCCTTTTTTTTTTGTCTTTCTTTCCCTTTCTCTTTCTTCCTTTTCATCAGAATATTTTCCGAACATATTTTCCTGGTTTTCCACGTGATCTGTCAATTTTTGAAATAACTTGCTACACGCGAGACGTCTTTCCTACTCCCGAAGCTATAACTTTCTTCATCGATGTTTACAATCTCACTCACCTGACACACATTCGTAACATAAGATCAGCCTAGCACTTTTACAGCGATCAAAATTTAGGATTATTTTCATAAAAAAAGTTTCGCGCTTCATGTCATTAGACGGAGATCTGGTTTAGATCATAATACGATTTCCAATGAACAATACCTTATCTACAAAAACATCTGTCGGTGAGGAATTCCCATTTCTCTGTTTGTTCCTTGGGTCGTTAATAAAGAACACAGGTGGATCGAAAAACTTTGAAGTTAAAACGTTTCTATCCGTGCTTCATTTCTGTCAAATGTTTGATATTTAATAAATATTTATCGTACTGACTATATTGGTATCTTTTTGTTGTCCTTTATTTTATTAACTAACCTATTTTACATGCACACACACAGAGAGAGAGAGAGAGAGAGAGAGAGAGAGAGAGAGAGAGAGAGAGAGAGAGAGAGAGAGAGAGAAACACATACACTCATAAATATATATATATATATATATATAATTTTTTAAATCCCAAATCACTTCATTTGGGTATAGTTTATTTTAAACCGGCACAACCAGTCCTCTTTAGCCCGGAATCGGGTGTGTTGAATTTAATTTAGATAGCAATCGGGGAGAAGGTACAGACCTACTTTTAAATAAGGAACCTGGGTTGTTGACAGGTGGGGGGGCATGAGTTATCTCTCTAAAGAGAGATGGGTCGGAATGGGAGTTTATTTATGACCAATGCCTTTAGTTTTATATAAATGAATTTAAGTACCTCCTACGGGATACGAAACTATACCAACAACACACACGATAAAAGTAAATATAAGCTTGCTTGCTTGCTCCATAACCGCGCGATCTAAGTACACTGAAAGAAAACGAGTTTTTTTCTGCAAATGGAGACGAACGTTCGAATCCTCGAGGAGGGTCAATTTTCTTTAATAACTATTTACGAGTATGCAAACCGGTAAAAGATATAACGTCTATTTAAAATAAATGAAGCGTCCAGTCAAATACGGGTGACCACTAAAATAACATTTAAAGTAATAAAATTTGCCTCATTAAAAAACAAAACAAAACATTATATATATATATATATATATATATATATATATATATATATATATATATATATATATATATATATATATATATATATATATATATATATATATAAATTATAAAATATATATACGCACATATACTTGCATATATATGTATATTTTCTCAGGTGTTATAAGAACAGTGTTCGATGTTATATAACAAAGCTATTAAGTATAAGGGAATATACATAATATCCATTTGATGGTCAGTATCCTGCAGCTAAATATTGCGTATTAGCATAAAACTCCGAGCCGTGCTATCAACGACAGTATATATTGACTTCATAGCTCTGTTATGTTGCATCGAGCACTATTTTATTAACATCAGCACTCAATGTACGATATCATATGTTCCTATACATATATAGCTATGTATCATATATTAATAAATATACACATTAATCCTCACCGGTAGCACGACTCTGAGTTTAATGCACAACGCAATCTTCAGGTTCTGAATAGCCACTGACCGTTATATATTTTAAATTTTAATAAAAATATCTGGTTAACGCAATGCTGGCGGATTCCATTTATACGGGATTACGGCACACACACACACACACACACACACACACACACACACACACACACACACACACACACACACACACACACACACACATATATATATATATAAATATATATATTTTACCTGTATAAGGTCTTTCTATAATACGCAACTGTACATTCAGTCATCCTCAGACATCGAAATTATTTTGTTTTTTGGTAAAATTCAGGTAGCATGCGAGACGAAAAAACTAAATGCTAATCGCTTTCTAATAACTACCGCGCATATAATATATAAATAATTATATATATATATATATATATATATATATATATATATATATATATATATATATTTATTTATTTATATTTATATACACACACTTTTCACGTATATATATATATATATTTAAATGTGTTATTGTTAACGAATACAAACTTTTCTAGCGTGCAGTCGCAACGCTAAGGTTGAATTTTTTTGAAAATTTAAGAAAGTGCGTGTTTTTACTAATATGGCAATTTGAGAATTTTTTGTCGTAGGAGTTTATCAGTCAATGCGACATGAAATAAATTGTTCAATAAATAGAGTAATGTCTCAGTTGTTATGCCGAAAATTTAAACGTCGGATCGGTTTTTTTAAATCAAATATGTGGTGCAGTTCAATTTATATTACAATGAATCATTCATACAAAAAGTAGATTGGTAAAAGTTAATACATACATACATACATATATACATATATATATATATATATATATATATATATATATATATATATATATATATATATATTTCAAAATAGCCTAGATTTATATTTATAATACCTAGAACCTGAAGACTACATTGTGGTTTAAACTTCGAGTGTGATATCGATGACTGGTTTGGTTTATTTTGTTTTACGGTATATCAACCTCAATGAGTTATTTAATGCCGACAATTTTTGTTGCTGGTAGTATTTTGTTTTGTCAAAAATCTGTTTCTGGTAATATTTTTCCTCCAAAATTGTATTACTGGTAATAATTTAAAAACAAATTATTGCTGCTAATAGTTAAATATTTCCCCATAGCTAGGACCCTAACAGGTGATACCACCCTAGGTCAGGGTGGACTTGTGAACACAAGCAATTCAAAGGTGGTTCCATGCTCCTCAAAACTTGCTGATCAGAGGCTTTGCTGCTGGATGTAGTTTATCGTCTTACCCAGGACGCGGATTTAATCTTATAGTGTAGTTTTTTTCGGTTTCAATATGAAGAGATGGTCTGGTATATATTTTCAATTGTTAACAGCCTCCTTGCTCAAGCAACTTTTATTTACCATTATTAAAAAGGGTTCTTCAAGGACTTATATTCAATATTCACTGATATAAACTGATTTCGACTGCTGTGAATTTTCGGCACTGTGTTCCAGGACTGCTGAAATGAATTTATCTTTCATTTCGAAATGGTGCAAGTCGAGTAACTGCCGACTTAGAGCCTGCTAATCCTGCATAACATCGGCAGCCATATTGACTTAGCAGCAATTAAGCGAGGCATTTTTGGAAGAATCCACACAGCATCGATTGGCTTGTAACCATGGCCACAAGAAAGTTAAAAAAAAAACTCATTTCGATGTCTCTTGCTATAGGAAAGCTTGAATCAATAAGCATTGCGTTTAAATTGGATCTACGCTTACAATAATTTATTAATTACACCAAGTGAAAAGGTTTAACTATAGCAATCAAAAGGCTGTTAGTTCAACCATTTTAGAAGGAAAATTAAGAAACAGAAGTAGATTAAACAATTTAACTCAAATTGAACGTAGAACTAATAGATTTCTTAGATAGGTTCGACGTAAATATGGCCTTTTATATATTATTTCTGGAATTCGGTATACTCATAGGTTTTATTTATTACCAAGACTCTCAAGTCTATATCCTCCCAAAAAGTTGACCGATATTGAGTATGCAGATGACCTAGCTATCATTACAGCCACAATTACCAAAACATAGTTCTATATCATTCAGAAAATATTAATAACAATGTTGGATTCTATGTCCATGCCTCTAAAACAGAATTAGCAAGCTTCAATCAGAGGAGAATTCTCAGGAGAATCAATTAAATCTGTGGAGTATTAGACATACCTAGGAAGCGAAATAAATTATACTGAAAAGGATGTGAAATTTCACATAGCTAAATCCTGGGTTGCCTTGAATAAAATGGATATAATCTCGAAATCTGATCTACGAGACAACCTTAAAAGGAGATTCTTTGGCGCCACTGTAGACGTGGTTTTCATGTATGGTGACGCTGCCTAGATATTAACTAAAATCTTTGAGTCTAAGCTTGATGGAACCTACACTCGGATGCTGAGAACTATATTTAACATCTTTTGGAGACAACATCCAACGAAATCATTAGCTCCGTGGACCCATCCCTGATATTTTTACAATATTACGCGAACGCAGAATGCGTTTTGCAGGACACAAATAAACAAGAATTTGCAAGTTATCTACTGCTCTGGACACCTAGCCATGTCGCAAAACGGTCTGGTTGCCTAACAACCACCTACACTGACCAGATATGTTATGACACAGAATGCCACCTTAATGATCTTGATGCAGGACCATGAGGGCTGACGTGATAGACTCATGAAGGCCTGAACTAGCTCAACCGAATAATAATATATTATCGAACTTTTCACGGCTGATTTATTTTATATTTACTTTCAAAACAATGTTTATTGAAGTCTGTAAGTATTTACTTGTTTATTGGCCAAATATATTGGAATATGTAAGCATTTGTTTGGTTCGACTATTGGTTGGGTATATTTGAATACCGAAGTAGCACCTTGCTTTGGGAATTGACAAATATTGGTCGTATGTATTTTAATCTGTGAGAATTTTAGTCGGGGCGTTGAAAATTCACCTTGAAACACTGATTCCCGTACAATCACCGAAGTTAATCAGCGTTGAGCCTGGTCAGTACCGAGATGGGTGACCGACTGGGAATACCAGGTGTTGCAAGCCTGGATGTGTGGGTGGTGTAATGGATAATTGCTCGGAATTGCTAATCGGAGAGGAGAGTTCTGATTTCAGTCGAGTTCATTATATTCACTTAAGCGCAAATAACACTGGAAAAGGTTTGAATCCACCTGTTCATCCTACAGCTATGGGTTAATTAGTATCATTGAATCATTATTTTCTTCAAAAAATAGTGTGATAGGTGGTAGAAAACGGATCAATCAATAAATTTACTTGGTTTAGGGAAAGGTATATATTAGACGTTTATATCTGAATTTAAAAGAATTTATTTTGTTCGAGAATAGGCAGGCATTTATTTGGTTGGGATATAAGTAAAATTATATCTGAATTTATAATCATTTACTTGTTTTGAGAGGTAACTATCTGTTAATCTATCTGTATCTGCAAGAATATATTTCATTCTAAGATAGATACATATTGCTTGTTTATATTTTAGTCTATCAGTATTCGTGTATAGGTAAATATTGGTCATATATATGTGAATCTGCAATCATTTGGTTCAGGTAAATGTTTGGAAATATCCGTGTTTATAAACATTTCTTTCTTTCAGAGGTAGATGAATACTGGTTGTAAATATTTTAGTTTGCAAGCATTTACATTGTTCGGGTATAGATTGGTCGTTTATATGAGAATCTGTAAACATTTACTTGGTTAGGAGGTAAATATTGATCCAATATATCTGAATTTATAAATGTTTAGTCTGGAAAAAAGCTAAATATTCATCGTATAGTTTTGAATCCTTAAGTATTTAGCGGGTTATGTAATAGGTGTTGCGAATACTCAAGAGTGGTCTCCCCTTGTTTTGTTACTGTCCTCTTTGAGAGAGCTATTTCTGTTTACTGGGACTATAAAAGGACACTATACTCGAACCTTGTATTCTCAGTTGGATAAAGCGTTCTTAAAGTCTACACCTGTGTACTTTTGTCATTACATTAGATAAATATTGTTTTTTTTTATATCTGAATTTATAAGTATATATCAGAAATATTTCTTATTTAGCTCTGAGCATAGAAACGTTTACAAGGTTCAGGGATAGCTAAATGTTGGTCGGTTATTTATTATGTAGGCATTTTTTTGGTTTGAGTATCATTAAATATTGGTCAGTTATTTTAGTCTGTAAGCATTTACTTGATTTGGGGATAAGTAAATATTGGTCGTTTTTAGTTGAAAATATTCGCTGTAAATATTTGTTTGGGAGGTAGCCGCTTTTTTTCTCCCCCTTTGGTGTTCTTACCCCTCTGAAGGTGGTTACAGTCGATAGCTGTTTATTTAACGCCCTAGTTCCGGTATCTGACTTGCCAAGTAAATACAAGAAAGCTTTCGCTCACTCTATGATTGCACAGCGACAGCTTTATCTCGCGGGAATGGAAAATGAAACTAGAATCACAGGTGAATCGATGTGCTGACTATATTTGAACTGAAAATACAAAGATCGAGTATCAGTATTTCGTATTTATTTCTTTCGATACTGTCTGTAATTTTTTTTTTTACTGCTAAAGCTTAGCTTCTATCATTTGTCGGATTAATAAGTAAAATAATATTCGTTATAAAGGAATGTCATTTTTGGTTTTGTTAGATTTCACACGCATCTTGATATATATTCATTTACAGAAAAAAAAAAAGAAATTAGAATAAGATTAGAAAAGACTAAAAACTTCCCAACATTCTTTATTTCTTTCTTTTTATTTGCCATGTCCTTTCAGGACGTAGGCGATCATGGCTCTCCACCTCCCCTTATCCCTTGCAACTCTCAACAAGTTCCTTCCCTCTGCTTCCTCCCCCAGACCACGTTCTGTCATCCACCTGCTCAAGCCCGCCAGGAATGTCACGCGTTGTTTTCCCTTGTCTCTCTTTCCCTCTATTCGACTCGTGAGTATCAGATTCTCCAGACCCTCCTTCTTCATTATGTGTCCCAGAAACTTCAGCTGCCTCTGCCGGATGTTAAGCATAAGCCTCCTCCTTGTCTTCATCCTCTCCAAGACGTCATCATTGCTCACACACTCGGTCCACGAAATCCTCAGCATCCTACTGTAGAACCACATCTCCATCGCCTCGAGTCTATTCTTCACCCTTGAGGAAATCGTCCAGCATTCGCTGTCGTAAAGAAGAACAGATGTCACGTAACAGCTCAGTATCCTCCTCCTGTCTCGCAGTACTCTGCCCAGCTTTTGGAATGCGTCGTTGGCCATCCCAATACGTCTACGGATAAACGCCCAACATTCGCCTTAAAGTAAAATTAGGTTTCTTGTGGGAGGAGAAATCACAGAGTATGCAAAATAATATCAAAAGTACTCAGAAAATTATCATTATTTATATTATTTACATGGGGACTATCGGCAAGTGATAACATTTATTTTTCAGCATAATCTCTTTACTTAACTCAACTTGATCAAATGCATTTTCTTCTCAACAGACCAAATAGACAGAATTCTACATAGAGAATATATATATATATATATATTTACTGACAGAATGAGGAGAAATAAATACGAAATACTGACACTTGATCTTTGTATTTTCAGTTCAAATATAATCAGCACAGCACATCGATTCACGTGTAATTATAGTTTTATCTTCCAATCCTACTGATGAGCTGTGATACAGCGAAACAGTCTGTGAATGACTAATTATGCTCGCGAAATAATTGGATTGAGCTCTCGGAGAGGAAGGGGTTATTTTATAAGCAGTGGCTGCTGCTACTACTCGAATTGAGCCTTCCAGGCTCATGACGTCTTTCGAATAGTAAAAACGTTAAAATTTCCCTTCCGATCTGCCGTGTGACGATAGCTTGTGGGTAGAATCTGTGACTGATTTCAAATCGGTCGGGATTCGATCTCGTCTTCAAGCAATCAGATGGAGTGCATCTGTAGAAGAGACAAAACGAATGACAAGAGATAAAGTCCCTCAGAGGACGAAATATGTCGTTTAAGATTTTCCTCTTGACTATTTTTATTCATATATATATATTTATATATATATATATATTTATATATATACACGCACACACACACATATATTTAGGTAACTATACTCGTTTCGAAAAACCTTCGAATTTTGATTTGCCAATAATCAAATCAATCACGAAGGAAAAAAGGTTTTAAAAAAGAAAGAGCTAGAAACATAAAAGTCTGTCGACGAAAATCGCACAGATACAGGTTTATATATATATATATATATATATATATATATATATATATATATATATATATATATATATATATATATATATATATATGCGTAATTTGATATTTAAATTTGAATATATTAAATTTTAAGGCTGGACTTTTACATTTTACATCGACCTTTTTCGTTACAACCACTCTACTCATATATATATTAATTCCATTCTTTTTCACTGGCACTAAAAAATTATTTTTTAATTTTTTTCACTCTTCTGTCAAGTTCATCCCATGCTAGTTCTGGGAATGGCTTCAAATTTTAAACTGTAGTGTATATATATATATATATATATATATATATATATATATATATATATATATATATATTTTTATTTTGTTTTTTTCCGTATATTTTTTTCTTCATACTGTCGGATCTATATCCATATATTTGCTTACACACACACACACACACACACACACACACACACACACACACACACACACACACACACACACACACATATATATATATATAGAGAGAGAGAGAGAGAGAGTGAGATTTTGTGATTGATATTAGACAATTTGAATGATGTGACATAAAACCGAGCGTGTTCAAGGCGTATTCATCGCATCTTCAGTGTTCAACTAAATCGATGCATTTTTCAGCTTGTATTTCAGCGGCTGACCGCTCAGTGATGACATAAAAGGTTTTATAACAATCAAACCCTATCTAACGTGAGAACACATTTCGGAGTTAATATACTTGGACTTACGCCAAATGAGATACATAGTAAGCACTAATAGAACATAATGACATACCTTTTCCTTCAGAAAGTGTTAAGGTCTATTATCTGGAGAAAAAAAAATCTGGTAATTAAGTATATGGCAAGATGGAAGAACATAACATTTTAGAGCAGCTGTTGATCTGTATAATCATGTCTCGAAAAACTGATGTCCCTAACCTGAGAACTGATTGATTTCCTGTCTCGAACTCACGAGCAAGCCAATTTAAAAATGAATAGTGGTTAGCAGTCTTCGAAAAATTGCAGCCTTGTAAATAAACTAGAAAGTTAAGCTCGTGTTTAGTCAAATCAATGGGAAATTTGTATTTATATTCATAGCAGTTTCTCTGTAATGTGGAAAAACACACTTTGATAAGTATATTGAAAGATGAACCGTTGCTCGGGCAAATAACTTGCGTGATTCCTTTTTATTTGTAATAAATAGATGAAAAACGTATTATATATATTTTTTAATTCTTTACTTTCTGTGCAGGCCATATAATAGAGACTAAAACTGTGATCAACTTGGTGTCGGCTAATTTCATATCCAGCAGACGTTAACTACTTCAGTACAAAAAAAAATCATTTCTGGTCATAGTATTTGGTAAGGTTATTTATTGTCATTTTCCCGGATATAACGATAAGCTACTTTCGGTTTCGATGAGTGTGGAACCATCTCCTCATTTCTCTTGTTCCCAGGTTCGCCCTGCCCCGGGATGGTAGCACTTGTCCGGGTCCTAACTATGGGCAAATAGTGAAACTGCAAACAAAAGCAAAATACTATGAAAGTAAAAAAAAAAAAAATACATTTTTATATTAAACATATCAGTAATACATTTTTATATAAAATATACTAACAACACTTATTGACAGTAAAATTACCAACAACATCTATTGGTAGTAAAATTACCAACAACACCTCTTGATACTAAAATTGCCAGCCACACAATTATAAAGCAAAATGATCAGCAATACTTGATTTACCAACAACGCATTTTTTGCAAAATGGACGACAATACATGTTATCTTTAGTTGAATGCATACAATTGCGTTCGAAATATATATTTAGTTGAAACCATAAAA